CGGCCATGCCTGTGAAGTCTGATGATTTAAACATCTTTCAAATATCTTTGAATATAATCATGCTCAGATTCCGATTGAGATTATGAGCTTCTGTTGGTAACACTAATGGCAAACAAAGAACAATCAAAAGAACAAGATAAAATATACAAACAATAAGTTCACAGCGAACATGCAGACTTGAACAGAGAGGTTTTAAGTTGAGATTTCAACTGGGGGAGAGAACCAGTGTTTCTTATATCTGGAGGTAGAGAGTTCCACAGGCTGGGAGCAGAGCAGCTAAAAGCTCTGCTTCCCATGGTGCTGAGGGGGAAAGAAGGCAAGCTGGATAGAAGAAGAAGATCAAAGTGAGCGGGCAGAAGAGGTAGTGCTTGACAGGTCAGAAAGGTAAGGAGGAACAAGGTTATGAAGGGTCTTGAAGTTAATCAGAAGAAACTTGTATACCATTCAGAATTTCATAGGGAGCCAATGACATTCCTGAAGGATATGGATGATGTGCTGGTATGCGGGCAGCGCAGTTTTGAACCAGTTGAAGCTTATGGAGGGATTTTTGGGGGAAACCATGCAAGAGAGAATTACAATAGACAGTGTGGGATGTAACTATACTATGATCAAGAAAGGATACAGACTGGGTGGAAAGAGAAGGATACAATCAGTCAGTGTTGCGTAGATGGAAATAGGCAGAACAAGTGAGATCATTAATGTGAGATTTATAGGATAGTGAGCTGTCTAGGATGATGCCAAGACTCTTAACCTGAAGTGAATGGAAACTGTGAAGTTTTCAATAGTGAGAATGAAATGATTTGCCTTTATTCCTAATATTGGGAATAAATAGGCATATTTGTGCACATTTTTGTATATTCAAGCCTGGAATTCAGTTCAGTAGATGAGTTTGAGGTGAGGAGGAAGAGGGTGACATTTTATTAAGATGCCAGTGGCGCGCACTCTTTTCATTTCTTTGGTAAAGAGGACTCCTCCTCCAAGGATAAAACACAGGTGTGATCCTGAAATCAGATAAAAAATATGTTGGTAAATGCTGACCTAGTGAAATGTTCTTCTGTTGTAGTGTGGGTGGACATCATGTCTATCCCTTTCCCGATTTACATTTCTACACGGGGACCAAGTTCGCTGTAACCGCGCTGACTGAGGGCCTGAGGCAGGAGCTGCGTGCAGAGAAAACTCATATCAGAGCCACGGTAAGGTTTTAAAGAACACTGATAAACCCAAAAAGTGCCCTTAAAACCAATATCAGCTGCTATGAGACACATTTACAATACTTTCCAAAGTTGACACACAATCACACTTCTTTTACCTTTGTTTTTGTTTTGTTATTTACAGAGCATTTCTCCTGGTTTAGTGGACACACAATTTGCATCACGGCTCCACCCCGATGAACCTGAAAAAGTAGCTGCTCTGTACAGTGAATTTAGGGTATAATTATTAATCTCACAGTTTATAGATTGTTAATATGATTTCTCTGATAAAAGTTATCAAGCATTTTTCACTTCTCTGACAGCCTTTGGAACCAAAAGACATTGCCAGTGCTGTCACATACGTGCTCAGCGCCCCGCCTCATGTTCAGGTTTGTGGGTTTTCTCTTATTTTCAACTTTTTAAATGTTCACTTATTGAATTTAGCTCATTAATATTCTAA